ACACGAATTACTACAGTATCGCAGGTATAGCATGTGTATTTACACAGTGCATTCTTGCGATGCTAAAAGTTGATTTTATCCTTCGCAACGATAATCGAATATGTCTCAAAGACCCGACTGCGAAAAGGACGGGTCCTACTCGCACACGCGTAGATCGATATTCCGAGTGCGGCACCGTCCAAGTCGCGAACCTGCCACGGGCCAATGTCACAGTTTTCGCAGTTGATCCGCAGCCCGCATACACCCTCTGCTCGCTCAGTCATACGACACAGCCAGGACAGCGCTAATCAAAAGCGCACCCATAAAAACCAAACCAGTAGGGGGAAAAAACGAACGACCCGTTGCAGTTCTGCCGCCACTCTCGACAACGCCCCGTATTCAAGCCGACTGTTTCCGGGCGTTATCTCCCTTACGATCAAAAATACGTAAAATACTCACTCATTAGTTTCGGCCCGGTGACAGCCGCGGGATCGTGCGGACACCAATTGGGAATGGCGAGACGTCGCAAGTGGCAGCGCAGACTTCACACTGCAGTGAATTCCGCGCGATGCTCCGATGAAAACAAGCCCCGGCGACCCTGACGAGAGGCTGCAGCTCGAAAAGTTGGCGAGCTGCCAAGGGCCGTCTCAAACTCGCGCGGCACGAAGTCGGTGCGCTACGCGTTTTTTCGTGGTGGCCGCCATGTTGAATTCTGACGTAACTGAGTTGGGGCAAAATAGCAGATCACTTTATTTGTCGATTTGAAGACGCTAGAATTCAAGTTTTTGATGCCAGTAGTTCTATTTATTTTTTCATGGCCATACTTTTCTATCATAGTTATGCCCAAAAATCACTTTAATTTTTGTTGCCCAACCCACTACGTCACACAACATGGCAACCGACACACGAAAACGGTCTATATCAAAAAGTCTGACAACAGGATAAAAGCTTGATCTGGCTGGGTACACTGGGCAGCGGACGCCATCTTGAATGGAGCTCCCGGTTCGTTCACGTTGCCCCAGTACGCGCAAATACTGTACTCTGGCACGAGTTTCGTTGGGTGGTGACGATGTCACGGGTGAAATACAACAGCAATTTATTTTTCACGCGCTAAGAAATTCTTTAATTTTTTTCTTTTGGAGTAACAACAAGAGACTGAGTGGTACCAGTAGATATTAAAGTGAGGAGTCCATATCACATGAGCGAATGACATTTTAGCGAACGGCGACATTAGAGCGAATGGACGTTTTAGCGAATAACGGGGGCGCGCGTTAACCCATCCGTCGCGCTGCGCTTTACGCCGCTTCGCGGCGACAGTCTGCGGCAGCTCATTACAAAAATATGAACCCACTTGGCCCACCCGAAAACGCCGCTTCGCGGCGTCCGACTATTCGCTAAAGTGTCGTTCGATGAAACGTGGGCGTTCGCTAAAACGTCATTCGATCAAGTGAGTGCCTCCCTAAAAGTGAGAGTGGATTAGTTCCTCGAACCTTCTTTGTATGTTTCAGTGATGCGCTCGCAGTCACCTTGTGAAAAAAAAAAAAGTGAGTGTTCGAGGCTACGCAAGTTGAAAGGCTTGCGGTTGCATCATCCTGTTATTCTAGAGTTTATTGCCGACCACTCGCGAGCTTATGTAACACGCAGTGCACAGTTGTGCACTGCGTGTTACATATGTGCTACGGCCGCCTTGGACGCGAGAGTGGCCCGGCAGCAGTAGAGGCGGCGATTGTAACGCCATGTGTTGAGGCGGCGGAAACAAGAACCCTACGCTTGAGCGCAGAAAGAGCGCCCCGATACACCATAGCCCTGAGGACACATGGATGTTAGCGGCTGTACCCGTCCTAGTGGCCGGAGTGGGTTATTAACATATTGGACGTCGTTGTAACCTCTCCTTACTTTTCTCTTTTTTTTTTTTTTTTTCTTTCGCTCATCGCTCGCTCATTTTCTCGCTTCTTCGCTCGCTCGGCCGCCCGGAGCGCGTTACAATAGCCAAGGGCAAAGGGCTAAGGGAAATTTGTTCAAATCTAGATATGTTTTAACAAAAAAAAAGTTAGGGCGCAAACAAGCTGGTGAAGGTTTAGCATTTGAGACTTCGTGGTGTGTTCTCCTTCCTCCCTCCTCCCCCCCCCCCCCCCCCCCCCCCCCCCCCAGCCTCGGGGTTTTGTCTAAAATGCTACATATGTTTCTTTTTTTTTTTCTTCATGGGTTTTAAATGGTTTTAGAATAATGATTATACTAATAATAAGTCTCACAAAAGCACTTGCGTGCTTATGCGTGTGTACTTACAGTCCAGTATGGGATGAAATTTAACAAATCGGAAGTATGCAAAACTAAATTGATACAACTGATTGAAGTCCTATTTATGCAGAATTCAACATAAAAGTAGAGGAAAAAATGGTTTATCGACTTAAAGGGCCTCTGACACGCCCCAAAAATTTCAAAGTGCCCGCCAGTGCCCTGTGACGTAACAATGTACCGCAAGGTGTCGGAGCGGTCAAATGGGAAGCATCGACCTACGTCACTAAAAGTGGGTTCGCCGGAAGTCACGTGAGTTTCACTCCTAGTGCTCTCCATAACCGTGCCTAAGACTTTTTTTTCTGTTTTTTTTCTACGAGCGGTGGTAGAAAACAAAGTTTCAGTCCCACTAGCTTTTTATTGCTGCACCGTTGGTTAGTTTGCGTGCTGTAAAAGTTGAGGACGAAGAGTCAGTGGATCGACGTGATGGAGGTCAATGATGAAAGTGTTGCGAGTACAAGCCAGGGTACGAGTGCATGCCATCAGTCTGATGGTACAGAGCCATACTGCGCACAAAACAAGCTATCGAGTTTTTAAGAAAAAAAATTTAGAACGCTTGCAGGACTTAGGATTGCTAGTATATGACACGCCCGATCGCATTGCTGAAGGTTCAGACACCGAGGTCGTCGAATCACCGGATACTCTCCAGGCTGAAGATGCCTGCCGTTTATAGAATACGAACTGGTGAGTGTACCGAGTACAAGTAAACGTCGAGTATAAAGTACGTGTTTTGTCTAGAACATCAGCAGAACTTGTTTACTAGGTTCACCGACTCCTCTTCTTCTACCTTTACAGTAACTTTAGGCGATAAAAAGCAAATAAAAGAAACCCTTGTCTGCTTGAATTGCACGCGGAAGTGCAGAGAATAAAAAAATATAAACAAATATCACACGCGGCCGCGCTAAGCACGAGGAGTGATAAAACTCACGTGACTTCCGGCGATGCCTCCCTTCTGGCCGCCCCGACATCTTGCGGTACACTGTTACGTCACAGTGCACTGGTGGTCACTTTGAAATTGGGCTTCGTATTTCTATTTCTTTATTAAAAAAAAAAAACTACACAACTGTAAAGTGAAATAATTTTTCAATCACGTCCTAATACACCATTTTAACGCCTAGCATGAAATAAATTTTTTTTTTTCGCGTGTCAGAGGCTCTTTAACAGTAGACAAGCTCAAACTTTTATGTCAGTAAGCATGAAACGAAATTACCTATTTTTATAAAATAATAATAATAATGATTTACATAGACTTTGTAATACCACAAATGACACAGAATAATCCACTCTAGCTCTTAAAATCATGGCAATACAGACAGGCGCGAAGGGAACAACAGTAAATGCAGGCGTGCAAGAGTAGTAGTAGTAAGCGTTTTATTGGAAAGGAAAACCTGAACAGTTGGCCACTCCTAAAAATGGGGGCGAGTCAGTTCAGGGTTGAGGAATGGGTTAGAGGAGAGACAGATTAAAAGAAAAGAGAGAGAGAGAGAGATAAAAACAAAGGGAAGGGGTGGATGACTGTCACTTGTTGGCACTCTGCACTTAAGGTCGGATACTTGTGGTTTATAGGCGATCGAATAATTCTGTGTCCTCTAAAAATGTGAGGAGACGTGCGAATGTTTTAGAAGCGGTCCCGGCCGGACCCGGAGGAAAAAGAATTTCCTCTGTAGTGGCATGTGCGACGCCGGCGCACTGCAGGCCGTCGATGAGGGATCTTCTCTCTTTCGTTAACGCCGCGCAGTCCCAGAGGAGGTGGTCGAAGTCCTCAGGAACATTGCAGGTTGGGCAGAGGGGGTCGACGGCAGAGTTTATGCGGTGGAGGGCTTTCGCCGTGAAGGCACATCCGGTGCGTAGCCTATGCAGCAAGGAGGCGCTGGATCGTTGTAGCTTCGGTGGGACACACGGGAGGTTTTCCGCAAAAAACCCGTGGGTCCGGGTGATGAGCGATTATATCTTGATGTATAAGTAGTTTAGCTTCGTGTATTTTAGGTATTGTTACCACTGGGACATCAAGGTGATGAGCCGCTGCAGCGAGTTGGTCAGCGGCCTCATTGCCCGAGATGCCAGTGTGCGAAGGCAACCACTGAAAGGTTAATTGCCAGCCCTTTGCTTGTAAGCTTCTCGCTACGTGCGCGACAAATCGAGCGTATTGCGGTGCGTCTTCAAGACGATCTAGCTGTTGCAGCGCCATCCTAGAGTCTGTGAGGACTAACGCTTTGCCACATTGAGGGAGGTTGTTAAGTGAGTCAAGGGCAAGCCAAAGTGCCACAAGTTCGGCAGTTGTCGACGTAGTATAAAAACTTAGCTTCCTGGACTCGGTCATGTTGAGCGCTGGGATACACATGGCAGCAGTAGACGACTTACGGCTATGAAGCACAGAGCCATCGGTGTATACCCGCAGCCAACCAGCGAAGGACGTTTCCATGTGGTCTTCAACAAGGCTCCGGACTACAGGTTGGGCTGTGTTCCGTTTACTTTTGAGAGCGGGAACAGACTCATTGATGTTTAGTGGTGGAGCGTATGGTGGTGGAGTCATGTAGATGATGTCTGGGTCACCAACGAGTGCTCTGAATTGCGCTGCCAGTTGTCCGAGGTGCCAGAGTGGACGCTGATGAAAACTATTTAGGAGTGGACCTGTTGATTGACAAGATGACTGTCTTGCTATGTGCCGAAGTGTCAGCTCCCTGCCGTGATTTTCAACGAGATTGACCCTGGCTTCCACTAACGTTGGGGTATTTGGGGAGTATCTTGGTAGGCCCAAGCATAAACGAATTGCGACTCGTTGAAGAGTCTCTATAGCCGAGGATTGGGTGCTGCTGGTGCGGACCAGCGGCAAGGCGTATTGTAGACGTGAGAGGATGAGCCCTCTATAGAGCTGCATCATCATGGCCTGGGGTGTTCCCCACCGACTGCCCATAATCATTCTGATGGCGTTGAGATGCCGGCGACACCTTATGATGGTTGTCTTCACCGCGGGGCGCCAGGAGACGCGGTCGTCTAACAGGAACCCCAGATAGGTGTATGTTTGGACTCGTGCCACATCAGACCCGTTGATGGTATAGACCCTGTTGATAGATGATCTGGCCGTCGGATGATATTGAAGAACTGCGGTTTTGGAGGCGGAAAGCGTAAGCCCTAGTCTTGATATTTCGTTTGCTACTGCTGTTAAGCCTTGCTGGAGCGTTCTCTGCATAATGCTGTATGTGTTAGTAGGAGCTGTAGCCAGTCAAGGCGTCTCAGAATCATTCGCTCCAGAATCTTTCCGAGGCAGCAAGTGAGGGAAATTGGTCTGTATGAGCTCGTTTCACATGTGGGTTTTCCTGACTTGTGTATTGGAACGACCACAGATGTCAGCCAGGCGGGAGGGAGTACCGACGTTCTCCAGATGTTGTTTAGGTAC